AGTTGCTTTTATTGCCCATAGTGCAATTTTTCAGCGACCCGACATTATATTCAAGCAAATTCTTAATTATTGCCTTTTACGATTATTAAGGAACAGTGGGTCTTTTCTCACCCCCCGCCCAAGATTTATGTCTGATTATGCATGATAACAGATACATTTATGGTAACCAAGAGACATTCAGTAACATTTCAGTGGAAGATTTTTGGGCAAAGTCCCTTTTCAGTGTGTGTCAAATGCTTTGTCGCACTGTTTGTTGGTTATAATTATAGGCTGGCAAACTCCAACAATATGTGCACGATTTTGGTCGCACTGTTTGCTGGTTATAATTATAGGCTGGCATTCTCCAACATTATGTGCATGATTTTGCTCACATTGTTTGTTGGTCATAATTATAGGCTGGCAAACACATTATGTGCATGATTTTGGTCGCACTGTTTGTTGGTCATAATTATAGGCTGGCATACTCCAACATTATGGGGTGGTTTACTATACAACTATATAGTGGTTTATTATAATCTCGCACACATTTGTAACGCCAGGGTGCCGGGTTTGATCCCAGCTGCGGATGATTTGTCTTGTTTTGGCTTCGACAGTGGCACCAAAAAATGACCTTTTAGAAAGCAATGGCAAACTACTGAACGTAAAATTTGCCTAGAAAAACTACAACAGCCCAAAAATGCAGTGGTTGGTTCTGCAACGCCCTGTAAAGGATACACAGCTAAATTAACTTATAAAATTATCGTCATCTGTGGCTTAGGCACTGTTAATGGGCTTCATAATTCCACATAACCAGATTTGATTTCAGCTGCGGCGATTTAGCAGCTGACTGTTGATTTCAACAATGGTTCTGAGTAGCATCAGTTCAGAAAGCAATGGCAAGATAATGAATGCAGAACTGTCTAGTCAAACTAAATAGCCAAAAAATTGAGAGGTTTTGTTCTGCATATAAGCGTCTAGCTGCTATACAATGATGGTTAATTAAAATTATGAGACGGCTTGCTGAAATCGCGCAGAACTAAAACAAGAATGAAAGCTGAGGTTATACTCACTCGACAAGGGCTACCTCCGTTACTGTCTGTTGCACTGCAGTCACTGTTGACCGAACACTTACTGGAACCATTCGAGGCGTTATACTCCAAGGAAACACACTTTCTCTCAGTCTCTTCACAATCACTGTCTATATCTGCAGTGTTCTTCTGATCTGGGTCTGACACCGACCTCAGAGGGCCTCTATTTCTACATTCATCTGTGGCCTTTTCGGGAGAGTTACCAGACTTGGCAGATGACCTAGATTCTGTTGAAGGGCCATGCTGTCTGTTGCCAGGTTGAGGATTATCCTCTTCCTCGAATGAAACTGTTCGGTTATAGCGTTGTTGCCTTTTAGCAGTATTATTATCACCTTCTTCAGGTGAAGAGTTCTTTATGCAAGGTCTCTGCAGGTCACCGCTCGGGACGCGCTGACGCTCAAGCGTACTCTGACTGCTGCTATTACTACCACTACTAGGTACACGCATCCTGTCCGAAGAGTTCTGAACATGAGCTGCAACATTAACATGTGCACTATTTCCCCCACCACTAACGTGTCTTTTTCTGTCCACAAAGTTTTCACCAGCCCTCCCCGTATCAACCTGTTTAGGTTCGGTAGCTAGACCGGTGTCCGGGATCGCTTTGGAGGTCTTTAAATGCATTTCAGTCCCGGTAAAAAAGTCACTGTCTATAGCTGGGTGTAACCGAGTTTTCACCTCAGTCTGCTGCGATTCCTCAGGGGAGACAACAGTTTTGGCAGTATCGGTGGCTGACAGATCATGCTCTTTAACCTGTTGCCCATTTGTTGCTGGGTTGTTGGAAGTTGAATTGAATGACTCCGCCAGCTGCTGTTCTTTTAAGTTCATGATGCGGTGATCAGGCTGGTTGAACTGTGCTCCCCTCTGCAGCACAGGCCCCACTACAGCTGGGGGAAAGCCTGGCCTCTGATGTGCTGAATAAATACCTTGGGGATATGGCTGCTGATGCATGGGGTTCCCATTTCTGGGAGGCTGGAATTGATCTCTCAGCCTCTGAGAGGGTGCCCGAAGTTGCTGAGTTGTCTCTCTGCCAGGTGAGTCTGCACGAAAGAATCCTCGAGCACTCTGGTCTGACTGAGCAGCTGTGGAATTCTCTCCCTCTGTCAGCAGTTGGCTCAACCTTGGAAGCCTGGCTTCAATCTCATCCTCATCAACCTCTCCTTCGGGACTGGCAATCACAGAGGTGCTTCTGGTGAACGTGGCAGCCCCTGTAGCCGGAGCACAGGTCACCACAGGGCCCTGTGGCGGGACATGTGGTGAGGAAGCACTGCTGTGTACAAAGGTAGGTCCAAAAGTTGCTCTAGCAGGACCAGCACCACTGTAAGCCAACAGGTGTAAAGGATTGACACCTGCTTGCACAACAGGAGGTGAGTTACCTAAAGTAGCCCCCAGGTTTTGAATGTGACAGGGTGCAGCTCCATGAAGGTGGTCTGGCACCAGCAGCGGATCATTCTCACCCACTTCCTGGTTAGCTTCCAACTCATCAACATGGACCTGCAACTTCTCTTGGCCAATACTGTCGATGGATCTATCTCGCACGCTGCCTTGGCTCTGCCCAAACACCACGTTGTGGTTGCTGCCTCTAAGGATACCAGGTCGAGATGTGGGGATAAGATGATACTGTAGAGGGCTGACACAATATGATCGTGCATCACCGTTTCCGTGCTCTGGTGGGCTGAAGTGAGCGTGACGAATGTTGCCGTTAGGATGACCGTTAGGCAGATAGGTCATGTGACAAGGAAGCCCACCAGTGACATTGTTGTTGGTGACCTTGTCTCCATCGGTCAGATGCTGAGGGATGACACAGCCACCAGCCAAGTTGTGCTTACCCCTGAGATCCCCCTGCAGAGAACTTGATCCCTGAGAGTAGTTCTTCTCTGGGTCAGTGCAGTTCTTGGAGGTTGCTGTGAACAGAGGAAGAAACAACATTTCAAATCTTAGGTGTTACGGCATTACACGATTAGTTTTGGTTAGCTGTATATTCTTTATGGTAGTCGCCGTGCAGTAGCGGCTTAACGCTCGTGTGCGAATCAGAAGGTCATGGGTTTGCTCCCTGGCAGAGCCGAACTTTTAAAAAAAAATGACCTTGACTCCCAGGTCGACCCAGCCTTGAGTGGGTACCGGGTGCAGCCCCTGTGAAGTATAGGCGGCTGGCATCACCCATCTTGTGCCGATTGGTCTATAAAAATATAGGTCTAGCCCTATATGCCTAAAGGAGTGGAAAAGGGACCTTTACTTTATATTCTTAACAGGACACTGTAGAACCAATCCTAGCAGTGCTGGGCTATTTGGGATTTCACTAGGCAATTTTATGTTCAGCAGTTTGTCACTGCTTGCTGAAAAGTCGGCTCCCAATACCTCTGCCGAAACTAATGCTATGCAATCAACTGAAAAATCGCCCGTACCTGGGATTATAGCCGGCACCTCAGAATGATTCAGCGTGCTCGCAATGGCTAACCTACAGATGCCGACATTAGATCATTACAAACATATATCTTCAAATACTTGATTACATAAGATGCTGAGGAGGTGATGACAAGTGTTAACCGACTGGACCCCCACATATACACACAAAAACATATTTTCTTTTTCTTCATGTTTACCAAATGTCTTCAGAATTAAAGTTTTTATTGTTTGTTCTGGACTTCAGTCTTTCTCCAAAACTTGACTTTTGTGTGCACACCCATTTTACAGATCTTGCTTAATCATGCAGCCTATTGGTTCCTTGCCTCTCAAAGGCACCAAGACTTTGAATGCAACACCCCTAATGAGTCACCTATCATTACATGCTTGCTAGGGGACTGTGGGTCTACACCCCCCCCCCCCAACCCTCCCCCATTAATGGTTATCTCTAACCCAGGCGGGGATGTTTTCATTAAATAAGGGAGCTTCAGGATGTCATTCTCTCCTCTTCTTGGCATTCACCGGCTGTAAACTCCGGTGGACAATTCTGACTGTTTATCAGCCTCTAGCCTTGTTCCAGAACCTGAGTGTTGCATGCACATCCATCTTACAGATCTGACTTATTCTCTTCTGAGAACAAAGGTTCTACATTCCAATTTTTAAAACAAAGTCAAAGACCTGTCTCCTGGACAAATGGCACACATGGTACATGATACTAGCCCTATAATAAAAATAAAAAAATAGATCCCTCAACATTAATGGGAAATGCAGTCAATGTCCCGCAAGCCAGAACATTTCATGGAACTCATTCTTCTTCTTCTTCTTCAGCGATCTCTGGTCATGCGCATAATCCACTGTGGGTCATAAACTGGGATGTCTTTTCAAGGTCTCTTAGGTTTCCCCAAAGCTTAGTTGTCATTTCTACTGGGTGTTGCCATATGTCGCTCCGCAGCTCTGCCAGGAGAGGACAGTCTTGCAGGACATGTTCTGGAGTCTGTTCAGCACGAAGGCACTGGCAGAGAGCTGTTTGGCTCATACCTAATTTATATGAGTGTTTATTGAGTCTGAAGTGTCCAGTGCGTAAGCAAAAAACTTTGACTTGGTCTGTTCTGTTCAAGTGTTTCAGAAAATCTTTTCCGTAGTTATAACCAGTGTTGGTTTTCCAATCTGTTTCTGATTTTCTCTTAATGAGAGTTTTGACTTCTGGAAAAGATAGTGGCTGGTAGGTCTGTGGTTTATTACTGCCTTCGGAACTCATTCTAGACATGTTCTCCTGAGAGGAGCTTAAACCCCCCCCCTATCAAACACACACACACACAAGTAATGTTAACATTACCCAGCCGCAACCAATGGGCATAGTATAATTTTCAGAAATTCATTGGAATAGTCTCGGAAGGGAAAATGAGGAAGGGAGCTGGTCACCTAGAATATGTAAAAGTTTCACAAATCCGACACAAGCATACAGAGAAATGATGACCAGGGTGCGAGAAATGTGTATATAACTGGTAGCATAGCAAATGAAATGTTACTTACCACAAACCCACACAGATTTGCCCTTACGCTTGCGCCAGAACATGATCAGCCCAATGAAGAGTATCAACATCACCAGGAACAGAACGACACCCCTGAAACATGTATCATAAACATTAGCAGATCTCCCCTGAAACACAAGTATCATCAGCACTACAAAAACATCTCCTTGGGAACAAAAGTATCATCAACACTACAAGAACATCTTCCCAGAAACAGAAGTATCATCAACATTTACCCAAAATTCATCCCCTGAAAGACAAGTATTATCAACATTACAAAAAACATCTCCTTAGTAACACAAGTATCATCAACATTACAAAAACATTTCCTTAGTAACACAAGTATCATCAACATTACAAAACATTTCCTTAGTAACACAAGTATCATCAACATTACAAAAACATTTCCTTAGTAACACAACTCCCCTGAAAACACAAGTATCCTCGACATTACAGAACACCTTCCCTGAAACACAAGTATCCTCGACATTACAAGAACAGCTCCCCTGAAACACAAGTATCCTCGACATTACAAGAACAGCTCCCCTGAAACACAAGTATCCTCGACATTACAAGAACACCTCTCCTGAAACACAAGTATCCTCGACATTACAAGAACACCTCCCCTGAAACACAAGTATCCTTGATATTACAAGAACAGCTCCCCTGAAACACAAGTATCCTCGACATTACAAGAACACCTCCCCTGAAACACAAGTATCCTTGATATTACAAGAACACCTCCCCTGAAACACAAGTATCCTCGACATTACAAGAACACCTCCCCTGAAACACAAGTATCCTCGACATTACAAGAACAGCTCCCCTGAAACACAAGTATCCTCGACATTACAAGAACACCTCCCTGAAACACAAGTATCCTCGACATTACAAGAACACCTCCCCTGAAACACAAGTATCCTCGACATTACAAGAACAGCTCCCCTGAAACACAAGTATCCTCAACATTACAAGAACACCTCCCCTAAACACAAGTATCCTCAACATTACAAGAACAGCTCCCCTGAAACACAAGTATCCTCAACATTACAAGAACAGCTCCCTGAAACCCTGAAACACAAGAATCCTCCCCTAAAACACATTCCTCGACATTACAAGAACAGCTCCCCTGAAACACAAGTATCCTCAACATTACAAGAACACCTCCCCTAAACACAAGTATCCTCGACATTACAAGAACAGCTCCCCTGAAACACAAGTATCCTCAACATTACAAGAACAGCTCCCCTGAAACACAAGTATCCTCGACATTACAAGAACAGCTCCCCTGAAACACAAGTATCCTCAACATTACAAGAACAGCTCCCCTGAAACACAATATCAACATTTCAAAAAACAATCTAAAAATGTAAAAAAAAAAAAAAAAATATATATAAATATATGTGAAGTCAAATTGTCTGGCATGATTTCAGCGCATTACCTACAGAGCTGTCCTAGCTTTCTGAGACTGATGACTGACTGGATTTTGTAGCTTAAGTGTTCTTCAAGATGAGGTAGTCAGTTCCATGCCCTCCCTCCTCTGTGATCTCCTAGGATGTGCATGGCTTATGACAGTGTAATTTTTGTTTCTCTTACAGTTTAAAGGCGGGCAATTTGTTTTTATCAAGTAATGTACAACAAGTTATGCAATCATTGGTAATAAATAAAAATCAGGCAGAAAACAGAAACACACAAGGAGGCGGAGGAAAAACTGTAACAGAAGGAGCAGCATTTGAAGAAAAAAAGGAGAAACAGAAGGATAAAGAAGAAGATGAAGATGAAGGAGGAGGAATAAGGAGAATAAAAGAAGAGGAGAGAAAGAGGGAAAAAAAAGAAGAAGAAAAGGAAAAAAAGAAGAAGAGGAGGAAAAAGAAGAAAATTAGGAAGAAGAGGAGGAAGAAGAAGAGGAAAAGGGAAATGAAGAAAGAAAAAAAGCAGGAGATGAAGAAAAAAAGATGCAGGAGGATAAGAAAAAAAAGAAAAAGGTGGAGAAAGAGGAGGAGAAGAAGAAAAAGAAAAAGCTGGAGGGAAAGGATGAGCAGGAGAAAAAAAAAAGAAAAAGCAGGTGGAGGAAGAGGAAGTGAAGGAGAAGAAGGAGGAGGAGAATGAAAGAAAGAAAGATGAAAGAAGAATATGTAGCCAGTCCCTTACACGAGAGGCCAGGCAAAACTGTTATCATTTTTCCCAAGGTCCCGAGATGAATCGTAATGGGCAGTATCTTGTGTGCTTGTTGACGCTGTTGTATTGGACACGGTACTGACCACAGGGGATGGCTTGTGACTGGTGACTGGCTCTGTTTCTGATGAAGGAAAAGATTGCTGCTTATTTTGCCCAAAGGTTTTTATATCTTAAACCCCTGCAAGATGGGTGTCATATAAGTGTATGTGAAACAAATGAAAAAGTGTGTCAAACATATAAGTGTATGTGAAACAAATGAAGAAGTGTGTCAAACATATAAGTGTATGTGAAACAAATGAAGAAGTGTGTCAAACATATAAGTGTATGTGAAACAAATGAAGAAGTGTGTCAAACATATAAGTGTATGTGAAACAAATGAAGATGGGTGTCAAACACATATAACTAGTATGAAACACATTAAAAAGGGTGTGGGTGGGGGGGGGGGGGGGCTGTGAAACGAATTGAAAAAGGTTACAACCATATAAACAGGGCACGAAACAAATAAAAAGGCTTGTGAAATACATTAAGATGGGTGTCAAACACATAAAAAGGGCGTCATACACATAAATTAACAACTAAAGAAAGGCATCAAACACATAAAGAAAAATGTCAAACACATAAAGAAAGATGTCAAACACATAAAGAAAGATGTCAAACACATAAAGAAAAATGTCAAACACATAAAGAAAGATGTCAAACACATAAAGAAAGATGTCAAACACATAAAGAAAAATGTCAAACACATAAAGAAAGATGTCAAACACATAAAGAAAAATGTCAAACACATAAAGAAAAATGTCAAACACATAAAGAAAGATGTCAAACACATAAAGAAAAATGTCAAACACATAAAGAAAAATGTCAAACACATAAAGAAAGATGTCAAACACATAAAGAAAAATGTCAAACACATAAAGAAAGATGTCAAACACATAAAGAAAAATGTCAAACACATAAAGAAAAATGTCAAACACATAAAGAAAGATGTCAAACACATAAAGAAAAATGTCAAACACATAAAGAAAGGCATCAAACACAAGAAAGATGTCAAACATATAAAGAAGACTCTCAAGCACGCAAAAGGGGAGTCAGCCACATCAAAAAGGATGCAAAACGAAAAAAAAATGTATTAAACATAAGTATGCCCTAATACAGGATTCATTTTTTTTTTTTTTAAAGAAGAAAAATAAAGTCAACATCAGGAATTACACTTAGTGAAAGGGGAAACAAACTGTCAAATAGTGATACAGAAAGAAACAGGCTCCTTCCTATCACAGCAAAAAAATCTACTTTCTGGCACAGACTGATCTTAGCTTTACACAAACCTACAGTGTACTCCCTAGGTTCAAAAAATTGTTAAGAATATATTTCTTTTTCTTTAGGATTGTGGGCCTCTGAGGTTCCTTGCTGCAGATATCATCCGTCTCCATTCATCTCTCTATGTGCCTTCTCTTTCTAGTTGGTGACTCCAAATGTCTTTCGGCCTGTTTATGATCTTTTCACCGTTTTCTTAGTCTAGTCCCATCCAACTCCTTTGTGTTTGCAGTTTTTGTGTCTCTGTCATTTGTCATTTTCTCTGTATGCCCCAACCACTGCGGTCAGTCAGTCCTCATGATTCAAACAGTCCTGATTTAATGTTGTTGCTTCTGACTTCCACTTCTTCGCTGTTATCACCTTTGATGGGTCAAAAGATTCTTTTAAAAAAAAAGACTCTTTTCTCAAAAGTTTGTAATTGGGCTATGTTTTTTTTAATAGCTATGCTAGAGTTTTCAAAGAAAAGGACACTAGGGCATTTCAAAAGTGGTGCCATAGGGGGGTGGGGGTCTCTGTGGGGAAGTCTTTTACATCGCACTCTGAAAGTCGAGGGTTCATTACATGGCTGCGTCATTCGCTTTATGAGGGCATTCTTACAGAGACCCCTAGAGATTGTCACCAGAGCTACAGTGTTCTTGCTTTGTGAGGCTGGTCCTTATGCAGAGACAGTGAGCTATATGGGATAAAATCACATGCAATGAAGCTGATAGTCTGGACTGTAACATGTGAGAATAGGCTTACCTGGTATGTATGGTTTTGGTGTGGTGATTGGGTCAGGTTCGCTGCAGTTGTTGTCAGCAGTAGACCCATTTGAAGCATAAATATAGTGTAAGCCCAACATGTGGCAACTGCGGAACAAACAAGTCAATATTCTGGTCGAACACAGACAAATGTGGATCAATGTGAAATGTAACTGGAGAAAAACCAACCTTATAACCAAAGTTTTGTCAACACACTGAAGAATCATGTTCTTCTTCTTGTCCTTACCCAGCTGGAAACTCCGGGGGAAAGGGGGGGGGGGGGGGAAGAGTTCTGGTTGTTTGTCCACTTCTGGACTTTGCTCTTGTTTCAGAACCTGAGTTTTGTGTAAATGTCTGTTTTACAGATCTAACTTATCTGTATGCTGTATTTTATATACTTAAATTCTGCAGTTCAGAGTAATTTGTTTTTGTAAACAAAAATTCAGGGGTGATAGGCTTAAGGAGCACTTGCTAACTCTCTTGCCTAATTTAGTGTATATGGTCCCAGCAGAGAAAATCTTAGCTCAAGTGATGAGGGCACACATGTGTATGGTCCCAGGAGATGGAATCTTAGCTCAAGTGATGAGGGCACGCATGTGTATGGTCCCAGGAGATGGAATCTTAGCTCAAGTGATGAGGGCACGCATGTGTATGGTCCCAGGAGATGGAATCTTAGCTCAAGTGATGAGGGCACGCATGTGTATGGTCCCAGGAGATGGAATCTTAGCTCAAGCAATGAGGACACGCATGTGTATGGTCCCAGGAGATGGAATGTTAGCTCAAGCAATGAGGACACGCATGTGTATGGTTCCAGGAGATGGAATCTTAGCTCAAGCAATGAGGACACGCATGTGTATGGTTCCAGGAGATGGAATCTTAGCTCAAGCAATGAGGGCACATATGTGTATGGTTCCAGCACAGGGAATCTTAGCTCAAGCGATGAGGGCACGCATGTGTATGGTTCCAGCACAGGGAATCTTAGCTCAAGCAATGAGGACACGCATGTGTATGGTCCCAGGAGATGGAATCTTAGCTCAAGCAATGAGGACACGCATGTGTATGGTTCCAGGAGATGGAATCTTAGCTCAAGCAATGAGGACACGCATGTGTATGGTTCCAGGAGATGGAATCTTAGCTCAAGCAATGAGGGCACATATGTGTATGGTTCCAGCACAGGGAATCTTAGCTCAAGCGATGAGGGCACGCATGTGTATGGTTCCAGGAGATGGAATCTTAGCTCAAGCAATGAGGCCACGCATGTGTATGGTCCCAGCACAGGGAATCTTAGCTTAAGCAATGAGGGCACGCATGTGTATGGTTCCAGGAGATGGAATCTTAGCTCAAGTGATGAGGACACGCATGTGTATGGTTCCAGCAGAAGGAATCTTAGCTCAAGTGATGAGGGCACACATGTGTATGGTCCCAGGAGATGGAATCTTAGCTTAAGCAATGAGGACACACATGTGTATGGTCCCATGAGAGGGAATCTTAGCTCAAGCAATGAGGACACGCATGTGTATGGTCCCAGGAGATGGAATCTTAGCTCAAGCAATGAGGACACGCATGTGTATGGTCCCAGGAGATGGAATCTTAGCTCAAGCAATGAGGACACGCATGTGTATGGTTCCAGGAGATGGAATCTTAGCTCAAGCAATGAGGGCACATATGTGTATGGTTCCAGCACAGGGAATCTTAGCTCAAGCAATGAGGACACGCATGTGTATGGTCCCAGCACAGGGAATCTTAGCTTAAGCAATGAGGGCACGCATGTGTATGGTCCCAGGAGATGGAATCTTAGCTCAAGCAATGAGGACACGCATGTGTATGGTCCCAGGAGATGGAATCTTAGCTCAAGTGATGAGGCCACGCATGTGTATGGTTCCAGCACAGGGAATCTTAGCTCAAGCAATGAGGGCACGCATGTGTATGGTTCCAGCACAGGGAATCTTAGCTCAAGCAATGAGGACACGCATGTGTATGGTCCCAGCACAGGGAATCTTAGCTCAAGCAATGAGGGCACGCATGTGTATGGTTCCAGCACAGGGAATCTTAGCTCAAGCAATGAGGCCACGCATGTGTATGGTCCCAGCACAGGGAATCTTAGCTTAAGCAATGAGGGCACGCATGTGTATGGTCCCAGGAGATGGAATCTTACCTCAAGCAATGAGGCCACGCATGTGTATGGTCCCAGGAGATGGAATCTTAGCTCAAGTGATGAGGACACACATGTGTATGGTTCCAGGAGATGGAATCTTAGCTCAAGTGATGAGGACACGCATGTGTATGGTTCCAGCAGAAGGAATCTTAGCTCAAGTGATGAGGGCACACATGTGTATGGTCCCAGGAGATGGAATCTTAGCTCAAGCAATGAGGACACACATGTGTATGGTCCCAGGAGATGGAATCTTAGCTCAAGTGATGAGGGCACGCATGTGTATGGTTCCAGCACAGGGAATCTTAGCTCAAGCGATGAGGACACGCATGTGTATGGTTCCAGCACAGGGAATCTTAGCTCAAGCGATGAGGACACGCATGTGTATGGTTCCAGCACAGGGAATCTTAGCTCAAGTGATGAGGGCACGCATGTGTATGGTTCCAGCACAGGGAATCTTAGCTCAAGCAATGAGGACACGCATGTGTATGGTCCCAGGAGATGGAATCTTAGCTCAAGCAATGAGGCCACGCATGTGTATGGTCCCAGGAGATGGAATCTTAGCTCAAGTGATGAGGACACACATGTGTATGGTTCCAGGAGATGGAATCTTAGCTCAAGTGATGAGGACACGCATGTGTATGGTTCCAGCAGAAGGAATCTTAGCTCAAGTGATGAGGACACACATGTGTATGGTCCCAGGAGATGGAATCTTAGCTCAAGCGATGAGGACACGCATGTGTATGGTTCCAGGAGATGGAATCTTAGCTCAAGCAATGAGGGCACATATGTGTATGGTTCCAGAACAGGGAATCTTAGCTCAAGCGATGAGGGCACGCATGTGTATGGTCCCAGCACAGGGAATCTTGCTCAAGTGATGAGGGCACACATGTGTATGGTTCCAGCACAGGGAATCTTAGCTCAAGCAATGAGGACACGCATGTGTATGGTCCCAGGAGATGGAATCTTAGCTTAAGCAATGAGGGCACGCATGTGTATGGTCCCAGGAGATGGAATCTTAGCTTAAGCAATCAGGGCACGCATGTGTATGGTTCCAGGAGATGGAATCTTAGCTTAAGCGATGAGGGCACGCATGTGTATGGTCCCAGGAGATGGAATCTTAGCTTAAGCAATGAGGGCACGCATGTGTATGGTCCCAGGAGATGGAATCTTAGCTTAAGCAATGAGGGCACGCATGTGTATGGTCCCAGGAGATGGAATCTTAGCTTAAGCGATGAGGGCACGCATGTGTATGGTTCCAGCACAGGGAATCTTAGCTTAAGCAATGAGGACACGCATGTGTATGGTCCCAGCACAGGGAATCTTAGCTCAAGCAATGAGGGCACACATGTGTATGGTTCCAGCACAGGGAATCTTAGCTCAAGCAATGAGGGCACACATGTGTATGGTTCCAGCACAGGGAATCTTAGCTCAAGCAATGAGGACACGCATGTGTATGGTTCCAGGAGATGGAATCTTAGCTCAAGCAATGAGGACACGCATGTGTATGGTCCCAGCACAGGGAATCTTAGCTCAAGCAATGAGGACACGCATGTGTATGGTCCCAGGAGATGGAATCTTAGCTCAAGCAATGAGGGCACGCATGTGTATGGTTCCAGCACAGGGAATCTTAGCTCAAGCAATGAGGGCACGCATGTGTATGGTTCCAGCACAGGGAATCTTAGCTCAAGCAATGAGGGCACGCATGTGTATGGTCCCAGGAGATGGAATCTTAGCTCAAGCAATGAGGCCACGCATGTGTATGGTCCCAGCACAGGGAATCTTAGCTCAAGTGATGAGGACACGCATGTGTATGGTTCCAGGAGAGGGAATCTTAGCTTAAACAATGAGGAGACATGTGTATGCAGAAGCTGGCTAGGGGCCTTTCCTTCACTGGGAGATGAGAAGCAGAAAATACACAAAACCACAGTGGTGTAGCAGGTAGACACTTCGCTGCTGGCAGTTCAGGCTGTGACAGAGCCAGACATTTGTTCACACAATGACTCTGGCTCCCAGACCAACCCAGCCTGAAACTAGTACCAGGTAAAGTCATAGGAAATAAAGGCAGCTAGTTTAATGTTGACCACATCATCCATCGAGGGCTGACAGGTCTATAAAATAAAAGGCTAGCCCTATTTGCCCAATACAATAAGCCTGATGGCGTGAAAAAGGGTACTTTACTGTTCTACTTTTTGCCAATTTTTAAAACTTGAATTTCTAATTTGTGAAAGTGCAGTGTTCTTCACAGGCAGACACAAATTTACTAACAGCGTGTCGCAATATCAACATAAATTTTTGTTGTTGTTTTAAAGCCCACCATGGGTGTTGCCGCGGGCCCTAATATAACCCAACTTATGGGTTGAATGGGGTTTCTGGGACATGTCCCTGGGTGATCCTCATTCAAATGGTGACACTTTGTGTTTATTGCTGGGTGTAACGTCCTAGTGGGGTTGAACGTAACTCACTCAGGCAGACACAAGGATGTAGATGAGTAGAGGACTTACTTAGTCTTAGGTTCACACAGGGTATGGCCAGCATTGGACTTGAAATAGTTGGCCTGGCACGGCTGACAGAAATCACCTGTTAGGGAAAGAAAAAATTTGAAACAAAGGGTTAAAGGATGTCAGATAAACTTCTTCTTTTTCTTCCTTGTGGTCAACAGAAACTGTGGCGGAACAGCCTAGTTGTTCGTCCACTTCTGGAGCTTGGTCTTGTGTAAGGACAGTAGGGTCCTGAAACCAACATGATTAGAAATGTGAATTAAAAATCAACATCACAGTACTCAGCACATTTCCAAATGCGCACAGTCCCCATCTTCAGCAGCAGAGTTTTAATTCCAATGGCATCAGTAACAGTCAGAATCTATATCCGTTTCAGACCTCCTTTTACTTCTTCTTCTTCTTCGTGTTCACCAGCTGTAAACTCTGGCAGAAAGTTCTGGTTGTTCATCCACTTT